TATACACACACACACACACACACACATATATATCACACATATATATATATTATTTTAGAGAGAGAGGAAGGGAGAGAGAGATAGACAGAAACATTGAAGAGAAACATCATGTACTGGCTGCCTCCTGCAGTCCCCCTACTAGGGATTGAGCCCACAATCCGGGCAAGTGTCCTGACCGGGAATTGAACCAGTGATCCCTTGGTTCATGGATTGATGCTCAACCACTGAACCACACTGGCTGCTCTTTTCTTTTTTCTTTTAAAAGAAAATACAGAATTCTTGTAAGTTAAATGTGTCACCAATAGACTGCATTTAATGCCAGAATAGGTGTGGCAAGTGCTAGGGTGTAGCGAAAACAATACTGGCTTTAACATCCTGGGCCTCCATCACTTACTCTGTCACTCCCTCTGTCCCATGGCTCTCTGCCTAGGCCAGTGATGGCGAACCTTTTGAGCTCGGTGTGTCAGCATTTTGAAAAACCCTAACTTAACTCTGGTGCCGTGTCACATAGAGAAATTTTTTGATATTGCAACCACAGTAAAACAAAGATTTATACTTTTGATATTTATTTTACATATTTAAATACCATTTAACAAAGAAAAATCAACCAAAAAAATGAGTTCACGTGTCACCTCTGACACGTGTGTCATAGGTTCGCCATCACTGGCCTACACGGTCTCTGCCAAGGGAACATTTTAATGAGCAAGGCAGCTGCTCAGTAGCAATTACAACAGGGTACTGCCTCCTAGAATCCACTGGTGGTATCTCATGAAAAGGGTGGAAGGTGGATAGAGGAGAACGATGGTCAGAGAAATTAAGGCAAAAAAGACCTTTTTTCAAAGTGTACCCAGGAAACTTTCCATGTCTACAGTAAGCCATAATAATTGCAGAGGAACAAGGTGAGGCCAACACCCACATTCCTTCCCTATAATGATGGTGACCATAGTCTTAAGGCAAACACCTGAACATGTAATTTTAGTACAAAAGAGCTTCTTTTCAGTTAGGTGTTAGAGTCTAAAGTTACTACATTAGATGAAAATCTTTTATGAGTAAATTTATTCTTGAAATTCTTTATATGGCCTGTGAAGTATAGCATATGTGTTTTAGATATGACCGAGAATTCAAATGTACAAAATACATTATAACAATATAAGATTAAGTAGGCCCCCTACTAGGGATTGAGCCCACAATCCGGGCAAGTGTCCTGACCGGGAATTGAACCAGTGATCCCTTGGTTCATGGATTGATGCTCAACCACTGAACCACACTCGCTGCTCTTTTCTTTTTTCTTTTAAAAGAAAATACAGAATTCTTGTAAGTTAAATGTGTCACCAATAGACTGCATTTAATGCCAGAATAGGTGTGGCAAGTGCTAGGGTGTAGCGAAAACAATACTGGCTTTAACATCCTGGGCCTCCATCACTTACCAGTTGTATGATGCTGGGCAAGTTATACTTACTCTCTGTCTCCTCATCTGTAACATGGGATTAAATCTGAACTTGTACAGTCAGCAGTGAGCGTTAAATGTGACAAAGCACCTAGTCTGGTGCCAGGCCCATAATATGTTGCTCAACATATGGTACTAACTATGAACCAGATAGGAGCAATAGAAAACAGTACTTAAAACCAGGACTAGGGTGAAAAATATAGAAATACAGGTGACTGTATTTTACAAGAATGCAAGTATTTCTTACATGCCATGACTCTAAGGTGACTTGTTAGACATCTTAATCTCTGCCCTCAACTCCATGAAGTCATTCCTTAAATTCCCCAAATACTCTGTATTCTCCTACCTCATGCCTTTGCCTAAACACCATTCCTTCCCATGTTTACCAATAAGGAGTTGGGCAGGGCTTAAATGCCCAGCTTAAATCCAACCTTATCCAAGCTTTCCTAGAGAGTTCCTCTTATAATTTACCTCCCTTCACATATCCCACAACACACTGTGCCTTGGTTATAGCATCTGTGCCTTCCACTTATTTTATTTACCTACCTCTTCCTTCCCTAGAAGGCAAGCACCAGGTCTGATTCTTGTCTGGTTCCCTCACAATGCAACACAGGGCCTAGGCTCAGCTGGGCACATAGTGGCTAAATCAGACTTGTTAAATGTTCCCAAGGCAATACTGCTGGCAGGCAGCTTGGTGAGACACTGCTTGAAATTATTGCTTCCCACAAAGAAAGGCCATCTCCCTACCTTGGACCTTCACCCAAATGGTTTTAATCCAGCTGTTCTCAACCTGTGGGTCGTGACCCCTGAAAATACATCCTGCATATCAGATATTTACATTACGATTCATAACAGTAGCAAAATTACAGTTATGAAGTAGCAACGAAAATAATTTTATGGTTGGGGGTCACCACAACATGAGGAACTGTATTAAAGGGTCTCGGCATTAGGAAGGTTGAGAACCATTGTAATCTAATCTCAAGTGTGAAAGAATATAAAGATTGCATTCCTTGGAGATTATAATGAGATGCCTCTGTTCATGGAAATAAAGTGATTTTCCGTACAGCCAAATTGGTACATACAATAAATGAGATTAGCCATCAATGGAAGTGAATTTATAGGACAGTTAAAGAGAAAAACACAGAGCCTAGGAAGCTAATTAACTTTAACTGAAGTAGGGATGATAGATACCACCTACATTGCATAAAGTTGCCCAGAGGATTAAGTGACATTAGAGATGCAAAGCTTACCTCAAGGGATCCACACAGTCAACACTCAATCTATTATCTAGGCCCCTGGGCTATTGTGTTCTTAATAAGTCTACACCAGAAACTAGCTTATCCACTGACCTGAGTTTGGTCCACTTGAGTCCTTCTTTCCAGGCAACCTCTAAAACTGTCTTAACCCTCAGCCTTGGTGCCTGCACTTGAGTACAATGCCTGGTGGAGCCTGGGGACTTTTCTATTTGACATTTTCATCTCTAATTGCCAGAGGGTGGTGAGAACCCCAAGCTGTGGAGATGTTATATTCAGTCAGTACTACCACTGTTCCTTCACATTTTTGCTTTGGCAGAGAAAAGCTCTTGGTTCAGAATTCCCTTTGATTGCAATCTCCTGCCATTTTCCAAATTCCTGGAACTTGTGACCCCTTATACCCTGAAGTCAACCCAGGCTTCCAACTAACTGTTCTCAAGATGTGTTGTTAGCACTTGACACAGTATTCCCCCTCAAAGAATATGACCAATAAATATTTATGAAATGAATGAAGCATTCAACCATTTTTCTTCATCACAAAGGCTGATGGAATTGATTCTTAAACCCAGCAGCCCTGGGCAACAACTAATTATTCCTTCCCATCTCAGTTAAAATTTCAGAGCCTTTGCAGACACAGGTCTAGACTTAGGCGGGGGGAGGGGGGGGGTGTTAGAAAGCGGTTCTAGCGGTTCTCTTGAGTGGGGATTTGCTCAAACAAGCTCCAAGATAATTCTACCTCACTCTGAGCAAAACCAGAATTTCTGGAGAGTGTGGGGTTACTCACACGGGATCCATGTTATAGCATGCATATCCCCAGAGCAGTCAAGGAACCAGGTGAGCCCTAGACTGTAGCCACTCCCAGCCCAGGGCGTTCTTATGTGCAGCCATTAAAACCAATATCTCTGTTCCCTCATCTGACTAGGCCCCGAGACTTTTCATCTAAGAAACATTATGCTAGGCAGTCTAGTTTTTCCTGAATAAAAGAGATAAAAATCAAAGAAAGGAAAAGCCACTCTCTTCATAGAACACCGTTTCCACTTAAAAGAATGGCTGACAGGTGAAACCGGTTTGGCTCAGTGGACAGAGCATCGGCCTGCGGACTGAAAGGTCCCAGGTTTGATTCCAGTCAAGGACATGTACCTTGGTTGCGGGCACATCCCCAGTAGGAAATGTGCAGGAGGCAGCTGATCGATGTTTCTCTCTCATCGATGTTTCTAACTCTCTCTCTCTCTCTCCCTTCCTCTCTGTAAAAAAATCAATAAAATATATTTTTAAAAAAAAAGAATGGCTGACAAACTGATTATTTGAACTTAGGTTCTGTCAGACATTTTCTTAAAAAAAATAAAAATGAGCCTGTTACTTCAAGAAAAACAATTTATTTATGACCAATGATAAAATTCAACCTTTCAAGCAAAACTTAGAATTTTGGAAAACCTGTATCCACCATCATGAGCTTGACAATTCCCCAATACTTAAAGGCTTTACTGATGTAACTGGAATTGATGTTAACAAATCTTATCTATAAAATGAAATGGGAAAACATTTGGAAAATCTGCATAGCTCAGTAAACCTATTTTCCAAAGGATCAAAGCATGATGTTAAAGAATCACACATTGTCCTGGCCAGTGCGGCTCAGTTGGTTGGAGCATCATCCCAAACACCAAAAGATTGCGAGTTTGATCCCTGTCCGGGGCGTGCATGAGAGGCAACCAACCTCTCTCTCTCGCTCTAAAAAACAAAAACAAAAGCAAAAAAAGTCAAACATTGGTCAAAAATCCAATAACTTTAATGTAAATGAATATTTACACTCCACTGATATGGTCACAGATTCTATATTGCAAAGAAGAACATCAACTATCATCTGGAAAGGCTATTAAAATACTCCTCCCATTTCCAACTCCTCATATAGGTATCTATATGAGACTGAATTTTTTAATGTGTTTCAACCAAAACAATATATTACAAAAGTCTGAATACAGAAGCATATATAAGAATCCAGCTTTTTTATATTAAGCCAGACATTTAAAGTTTTGCAAAAATGATAACAAGACCATTCTTCTCACTCATTTTTTAAAAATAATTATTTTTTCATTAAAAATTATGTTACTGTAACAGGTATAATATTGCTATTCTCAAATGAATTAGTAACTAAATATTTTTACTTTCTCAGCTTTAATACTTAAATTGGTAGATATCAATAGATATAACCAACAAAAGCTCTTCGGGTCCTCAATAATCTTTAGGAATGTAAAATGGCCCCCAACACCAAACACTTTGAGAACTGCCAAAATACACAAACAGCAATAGTGATAAACAATGATATAGTTCACAGCATTACCTGGATAGCTCTTTGGGGGCATGAATAAATTTCCAGCCCAGCCTTTTTGTCCATAATTTAGGGATTAAAGGGGAATAACCTGGGTCACCAGACAGCTGTCAAGGACTGCTCTGAAGCTGGATCAAATTTCTAGCACTAAACCTGCTTCTATTCCTCTCACGGATTCCTTACACAGTATGTCCAAGAGTACCTGTACATTTGTAGAGTGTCCCCCAAGACACAATGCTGTATCTAAGTAGAGGCTCTACAGCAGCTTCCAAATTCTATTCTGAAACGGCCCATTAGAGCACTCTACATTGACGGCACCGGACTCCAATAGCTCTCCTGTAACCAAGGCAGGCAGAGGACAACAGCAGCAGCTAAAATTCCCTTCCAGAAGCAGAGAAAATAATGAATTCCCAGTCTAGAAAGACTCATCAGCTCAGTCATCACCATTTACTCTTCTGTTCACTCATTTATTCCCTCATTCAACAAACATTTTAAGAGCCCCTACCTGATGCCAACCATTGTACAAGGTGCTGGAAAACATAAAGCTATATAGAGCTCCTGCCTTAAGAACACATGCTTAAACCAGGCAGGCTCATGCACTGTGTTGTCAATGTTCCCAACCTACCTGGATGCCTCATTCATTTGAAGAATCAGGCAAGAACATAAATTAAAATAATACACGCCAAAACCGGTTTGGCTCAGTGGATGGAGCGTCGGCCTGCGGACTGAAGGGTCCCGGGTTCGATTCCGGTCTAAGGGCATGTACCTGGGTTGCGAGCACGTCCCCAGTGGAAGGTGTGCAGGAGGCAGCTGGTCGATGTTTCTCTCTCATCGATGTTTCTAACTCTCTATCTCTCTCCCTTCCTCTCTGTAAAAAAATCAATAAAATATATATTAAAAAAAATACACAAATGAAAAATAAACAAACAACCAGGATACTGGGCTTCTTTACTTAATGTAAGCTTATTATTTCCTTTTTGAATACCTATCCAGTTTAATGATCTTCCTTTAGCTCCCCTTTCCTATCTTGGTCTTTCTTTAATCTCCAGGCTCCTTTCTGGTTGAGCTTACTACCAAGGCACTCTCTGGTCCCTGGCATTCATGACTTGGCCCCAGCTAACCTCTCCATGCTCCATTTCTACCTGAGAACCTTAGGCTCTATTCATACTCAGCACGTCAGCACTACTCCTTGGCAAATTCCTACTCATTCTCTAAGATCCTGGTTAAAGGTCAAAAAAGATTTGAGGGACCAGATAAGTAGAGCTAATTATGTTAGTATTGTACCTATTATTTTGTACTATAAACATATTCTCTATCTGTCCCCAAACTCCTGGTAGAATGGGAGCTCTTTGGGGGTACGGAGTGTACGTTGGTCACTTAAGTGTGCCCAGGACCTAGGGTTGTCTTGGACCTGGCACAAAGCAGGCCTTTACTGAACAAATGAACAGCCCTGACCAGGTAGCTCAAATGGTTAGAGCATTATCCTGATAAGCCAAGGTTGCAGGTTTGATCCCCAGTCAAGGCACATACAAGAATTAACCAATGAATGCATAAATAAGTGGAACAACAAATTGATGTTTCTCTTTTTCCCTCTCTCTCTCTCTCTCTCCCCCCCTTCCTCTCTTTCTAAAATTAATTTTTTTAAAAAAGGTGAAATAAATGAACAAATGCTTAAAGCCCATCTGGCTCATGTCTCAGCTGACTACACAAATAGAATCTAAGACACAGCTGAACGAGACATGCTATGTTAAAGGCATGACTGCATCACTCCAGGCCACTGATGAGGGCTTCACTGCAAAGAATCTCAGACCATTCTTTTTTCCCCCCAGACCATTCTAATGCTGGCAATCAGAGCTGCAGTTAATTCTCAGGGAGCTGATATCACAGTACCTCAGTGCCCTGGAGCTTTCACTCAAACTCCCACCCAGGCTGTTGACTCAGGTCCTCCCAGGAGGCAGAATGGTTGTTTCATATCATAAAGTCAGTTTGTGGAGAATCTACTCTTGTTATACAAGCTGAGTCAAGGAGAGGGTAGTGAGTATCTCTGACCTCCATGGCCTTCCACCCCCTCCTCCCCGAAAGGCTAGCTCATCCATCGAACCTATCTCCTGGGTGCAATCAGCCACAGAAAAGCTGTTGTTCACTGACCTGGAACTGTATTACCTGCTACTCTGTAACCCCAGCACAGATATCTCATGGGTGGAAGAGTATGAATTTTGGAGGCAAGACTGTTGTGAGTTCAAATCCCCGTTCTGCCATTTTCAGTATGATCTTAGATGAGCTTTAATTTCCTCATTTATGATAATAGAATAAAACCATACTTTACAGATTTGTGAGGACAGAAGGAAATAAATTATGTGAAGTACCTGGCCTGGGCCTGGCACACAGTAGGTGCTCAATACCCGTTAGTTTCTTTCCTCTTCTGTCCTGGAAGAAATGACAGGGAAACTTACTAAGTGAGACTTGTCCAATCCAAAGTTATTACTTGAAGCACAGGACAAAGGACTAGACAGGTGACCTTCAAGGCCTCTTTTCCTATATTCCTATATTCATTTCATTCCTATATTCAAACTAATCCCTATATTCATTTCAGAATGGAGGCAAACAACAAGGAGAGCTGGAGATCTAAGATTCTTGAGTAGGGACTAAAAAGGAGATGGCCTATAGGACTGCCGCAGGGCAAAGAACCAAAGGGTGCAAACACAAGGCCTTTCCTGGGACATACCGTATTTGCCGGCGTATAAGACGACTGGGCGTATAAGACGACCCCCTAACATTTCCACTCAAAATACAGAGTTTGTTATATACTCGCCGTACAAGACTACCCCCTCTTCCGCACACCTTCCACACACCAAATAAAAGGTAAAACGATATCAGATTTGATTTTAACATTTTAATTTATATTCAAATGCTTATGACATGCAGGAAAACTGTCACAAGGCTGTATGTAATCAAACATATACATAAAACAGTGCAAGTTTATTACCGGTAAACATACCGGGAATTCACTAAAGAAAACACACTCTATAGACTGGTACCGTAGATGCTTCTCAGGAACACAGGCAAGCAGCCCACAACCTAGAGGGACTGTCAATGATAGAAGAAAGAT